TATATGGTACGTCAATTTGAAATGAACATCGATAAATGCACGGATGTACATAAATGGTACGTCAATTTGAAAAATAAATATCAATGTTTTGTAAATGACATGAATATCGATGTTTCCGACAACCCAACTTTAGAACTGACCGACTGATTTCGTATCGAAAGATTGACCCACTTACATATCACACCCGAGTTTTGAGTTAACAGAACTCACTTCAAGAAATATTGTCAAAATTTGTTCTCAATAAGCACAATTTCTATAGTTTTTCGAAATCTGAAATCAGAAAATTTGGGCAGCATATCACGTATAGCTGTATGTAAGTATATGCCGTGAGAATAACACTCCCATCAATCCACAATGGATGTGTACAATTTTCACACCACCATTATGTAATGTAATTCTCTCTATTTTGAAAACAACTAGTTGCAAGATCATACTGTTTTATTTAATACCAGAATAAGCATGCTTTGTTATTGAAATTTTACAAAGTTTTGAAATGGCGGACTGATACATTTAGAGTGAGCAGTAGGCCGCGTAAACTTTTCAACTTTTGAATCGACTACATGGCAAATAACATAACATTGTACCATTAATGAAATTCAATATCATACAATGTTGCCACAATAACCATGGTCTTTCGTGCATTTGACATTTCATTAATTCCAACAGTGATCGCTGAATGGCTCTACTATCTTTACTTTGATGACTATTATTTCAGCTGTAATATTGAGAATGACTATCAAGTATATGAAATTTGATTCAATTCTAATTTTGTAAATTAATTAAAATAATTAAACTATGAGTATCATATGAGATATTGCAGTATATTATACGATGGAGTTTAGAACAACTGTAACGTAACAATTTGGTTGGTGACATCATTTGTTATTATGAACTGATATCACACTATCTGTTCAACCCCGTATTTTCAAGAAAATCTAAGGCTTCCCAATACTTATTTTTAAATTGGAGTTTTCAAATCATTTTTTTCTATATGACAATAGCCATGTGGTTCAAGTGTTTACATTATTGTCTATGAGGAATTTAATTGAGAACTATGCCATGGTAATACCACTGCCATGTCAACCGAATTTGGCGTATACACCGTAGCCATATCACATTAGGCAGACCAACTTGATTCATATTAGAATACTGGGAATGGTAAACATGAGAATACAAAACCTATGGCTTAAATTCCTGTATCTAAACTATTGTGTCCGTCGCAACAATCTTGTATTTATTAAGGTTCATCTGATTTATTGTGTATTATATATTAATGGGTAATTCACATTGTCATCCATCTAGGTGACCTTCTAAAAAAATACCTGCACTATGTGACCGAATGTCGAGCAGGTAAAGCCGTATAATACTGCAGGTCATTCGATAAGTATGTATGTATTCGTAGAGCCGCCCGTTGGGACGTTGGACATTGGTGAGTGGTCATTGTAATGTAATCAGGACCACAACACTTATCATTGTGCATGGTTAATGTCTTTATCGTATATAGATGACATCATCATAAATTACTTTACAAACGTATATCATCAGTACAGCAGTATTATGCGAGGTTTCCTATCTATATTGTACGGCAAAGTCTACACTTCTTTTACAAGGAATACTGACTTATTCTGAATTCTCACTAGAATGGTTGACCGGTGTGACGTCATATAAACACAGTTAACTGATACACGCTGCAGTAAACATCGCGATAGGTTTATTTAACCTGTTAAGGCGGACAAGTCAACTGAACACAAGTTTGTGTCACCATGGTAATTCTATTTACGCGACCTGTGTGAACGTGATTAATTTCAAAATTGAAATAAAACGTTCAGTTCTGTGCAAAACGAATCATTTTACTTTGATAGGTGGTAATAGACGACAATGCCAAACGCAGATACAGCGGCGATGACTGCGGCATACCAAGCTAAGAAACATACTCAGGATGCTTTGCATGTGGTGAATAGTACACTGCCTCAACCCGTCATATCTGTACCGCACCATGAAATAGCAAAGTTTTCACACACTAAGAAGGTGGGTCAATATCTCCTTGGTAAAACACTTGGTGAAGGAAGTTTTGCTAAAGTGAAAGAAGGTCTACATGTCATCACTGGCGAGACGGTAAGCATCTATACTTAGATACTGTAACATTGTAATGTTAGTTAATTAAGCTAATTTTAGTAATTAAGTTAACTTGCATATCTTAACAATTATTGGCAAAAAATACCGTTAATTTAAGTTTCTGCTAAATCATGGCAGACCCAACTGTTTCTACTGTAACATTGAAATGTTTTACGGAGTTTTTCTAGCTGTGTTGGTGTAAAACGCTAATACAATTATATTACATGATTACAATATTACATACTTGTCTTAACATAAATGGCCACACTCGACATAGTAGTAAATCGGTTTTATACGTAAAGTAGTACATAATTGGTAGATCGGTGACTGTTACTAGGTAAGAAAAACATATTCGACACTTGACCACATTAATCGCTGTTATCAGTTTAAACTACTATATTGTGAACTAAATGCAACTATTCTTCATAAATCACTCGTTTTAGGGCCATTTTTTGTTCTTATATGGCGCCAATAGTTGGCAATGAGTCCGAGGTATGCTAGGCACCGTACCCCACCGTGTTTG